TGGGTACTGATAGACAGCACTAATAGGTGGCACTGACATCACTGCTGGGCACTGACTGGCAGCACTGCTAGGCATTGACTGGTGCAACTGCTGGGCACTGACTGGCACAACCATTGGGCACTGACTGGTAGCACTGACTGGCAGCACTGCTGGGCTGCACTGGTGGGCACCGATCAGGGCACTGATCATCAGTGCCGATCCCTGCTCTGACAACTGCCGGTTCTCGGCAGTACTTTCCTCACGCTCTGATAGCGTGAGGAAAGTGCAGCCGAGAACCGGCAATTGCATTTCCTGGTGATCAGAGTGTCATTGGACACGGCTGATCATGTGGTAAAAGGCCGCTGTGATTGGCCTTTTACCACATCACGTGATCAGCTGTGTCCGTAGGACACAACAATCATGGAGAGCACCAGGGGGCGCGCAAGAGAGCGCGTTCTGGGAGGACGTCATATGATGCCCCCCCCAGAACTGGCCGGCCGCAGTGTAGCCGTCATTCGGCTATCTGCGGTTGACAAGTAGTTAAAGTCACTGACCTGAGTCGCATTTATTAAGACGGGGTCATAGGCATACATTCGGTGTGACTTGTCATGTGACTTCGAAGTAGCAAGTCACATGGCAAGTCACATTGGTGTGAACCAGGGCTTAGTCTTCTTTGGTTGAATATTTTACTCACTAGGTAGTGCAACCAAGATCAGAATGCTATCCCTGCAGCTTACAATTTTATAAAGTCAGCAATGGTGGCTCCTGTATTTCTATCCCCAGAGATTCACCAAATTTCTTTTTAAAGTTGTTCTTTCTAGTATTCTGAAATTGTTGTGTTTGTTCTGATCCTTTTACAGAAGAGACAGAGGAATATAGTAATCACCCTCAATTCTGCTAAGCAGTAGAATGGAATGTCATGAGTCCATGAGCAAATTTCTGGCCAACAAAGGTAAGTTTGTTATAGTATTCACGTTTAAAAAAAAATGTGATTACAAATCACAAAGGCTGCTGCAGTCAAAAGAGTAAAACTATATATTTTTTTTTTTATGACTGGGAACTATAGAACTAAATCTGTAATCGTTGAATTAATACAATTTAATGTCAAGGCACTCCCACCATACACATATATATATATACAGTATATATATATATGTATGTATACACACACACACACACACACACACACACACACACACATGCCAAGAAAATATCCCCCACACCATTACACAACCACCATCAGCCTGAACCACTGATACAAGGTAGGATGGATCCAAGCTTTCGCGTTGTTTATGCTAAATTCTCACCTTGCCATCTGAATGTCACAGCTGAAATTGGATACCCATTCTCCTACAGCGTGTAAAATAAGTATTGAACACATCAACATTTTTCTCGGTACATATATTTCTAGTGCTATTGACATGAAATTTTCACCACGTCGGTTACAAGCCATGCAATCCATACATACAAAGAAACCAAAACAAATGCATTCAGAAATTAAGTTATGTGTAATAAAATGGAATGACACAGGGAAAAAGTATTTAACACATGAAGAAAGGAGGTGCAAAAAGGCATGGAAAGCCAAGCCACCAGCTAAAATCTATCAGTAATTAGAAAGCACTCTTGCCCCTTGTCAGTGCAAATTAATATCAGCTGGTTCAGTCTCAACTGATGGCCTATAAAAATGTCTCATTACCAAGGTGTCACACAAGAAACATCTCATGATGGGTAAAAGCAAAGAGCTCTCTCAAGACCTTTGCAACCTTATTGTTGCAAAACCTCCTGATGGCATTGGTTACAGAAGGATTTCTAAATTTTCCACTGAGCACTGTTGGGCCATAATCCAGAAGTAGAAAGAACACAATTTCACCATAAACTGTCCAAAACCAGGTGCTCCTCGCAAGATTTCTGACAGAGGAGTGGAAAAAAATGATCAGAAGAGTTGTCCAAAAGCCAAGGACCACTTGTAGAGAGCTTCAGAAAGACCTGGAATTAACAGGTACAATTGTTTCAAAGAAAACAGTATGTAAGGCACACAACTGCCATGGCCTAAATGCTCACCTTGCAAGACTCCATTGTTGAAAATGCCTGTTGAAACTCATTTAAAGTTTCCTGCACAACATTTAGACAAGTCTGTGAAATAACTGGGAGAATAAAGTCTGGTCAGATAACACCAAAAATGAACTCTTTGGATGCCATAATACACACCATGTTTGGAGGTCAAATGGCATTGCACTTCACCCCAAAAACACCATACCAACAGATAAGTTTGGAGGTGGGAACATTATGGTGTGGGGCTGTTTCATTGAAGGAAAGGATGAATGGAAAAATGTACTAAGACATTCTTGATAAAAATCTCCTGCCAACTACCAGGTTGATGATGATGAAAGGAAGGTGGACATTTCAGCAAGACAATGATCCCCAACACAAAGCCAAGGAAACTCTCAATTGCTTTCAAAGAAATAAAATAAAACTGCTAGAATGGTCCAGCCAATCACCTGACTTAAATCCAATAGAAAATATATGGAAAGAACTAAAGATCAGAGTTTATAGAACATGCCCATGGAACCTTCAAGAGCTGGTTTCTCCATACAGGAGGCATCTTGAAGCGGTCATCACCAACAAAGTATTTTGTATAAAGTATTAAATAAATTTTAAGTTACCGTGTTTAATATTTTTCCCTGTGTCATATACAGGTGAAACTTGAAAAATTAGAATATTGTGCAAAAGTTCATTTATTTCAGTAATGCAACTTAAAAGGTGAAACTATTATATGAGATACTCATTACATGCAAAGCAAGATAGTTCAAGCCGTGATTTGTCATAATTGTGATGATTATGGCTTACAGCTCATGAAAACCCCCAAATCCACAATCTCAGAAAATTAGAATATTGTGAAAAGGTGCAATATTCTAGGCTCAAAGTGTCCCACTCTAATCAGCTAATTAAGTGTCAGGAATGGACTTGCCAGTAATGGTGGGACTCACCTGCCCTTGTGGGCTGCAGTACCAGGGCTGGCCAGCAGGTGCTCCCAGCAATCAGAGACTCAACCCTGCAGCCAGCCAAACACCTGAAGTTGATCATGCAGGTGTATTTAAGGGATGGCCAGACCTGCAGTCTCTGCCTTGGTGTGTGTTTTTCCTGGGCCCTGTATCTTGTTCCTGCATCCCTGTTCCTGTTCCTGTCCCTGTCCCTGTCTCTGTCTGATTCGTTGCTGACCCTGCCTGATCCAGACCTCTGCTGACTTCTCCTGTTTTATCCCTGGCTTGTGACCCCGACCATTCTCTGCCTGACCCCCTGTACCTACCTGCCCGATTGTTTTTGACCCGGCCTGCCTGACGACGCTTGCATTGTATGTACTGTTATCTGTGGGTGGTTTGGTTTGGTTTGTTGCACTGTGTTATGTTTTAGTATTGCACTGCGTTTATGTTTGTATTGTTAGTCTTTAATAAATTATATTGTTTATAACTTATCTGAAGCCTGCGTTTCCCTGCGTCAGCTCACATACCTCTGGTCATACCCTGGAGCCCTGACATTACACCAAGGCCAATCCTGACCAGAAGTGGCTGCACAGGGAAGCCATCTTGGCTTGTTGCTGGGAAGGATGGATCTGGATGAGGTTGTGTATTTATCTCTGCTAGTGTTTGATGACAGAGAATATGCTTATCAGACTCTGAAGGAGTATCCCAGGGATCAACTACTAGAGTGTATACGGATTGCTCATGTTCTAGTAGATCAGGGCACAGAATTCTCTGAGGTGCAGCCATTGATTCAGGTTTGTGCTGAGTTGGTTTCATCTGGTACCCCCGAATGCAGGGATGAATTTTTGCCGCCATTTATGCCGACCAAGTAGAGTCCCTGGTATGGTTATTAGAGGATGATGTGGATTACTTTCTGGAGCGTTATTCTGCATGTTCACCACAGATACTAAGAGATTGTATAAACGCAGTGCAGTCTTTGGTCAGACAGGCTTTGTGTAAGCTGAGCTTTGTTCAACCCATACTGCAGACATGGTCTGACTTGTTGCACCCAGCCTCAGTCAGCTTACAACATCATTCCTCCACTCAAGGCACTCTTCCTGCATCCCCGACAGCACCCCCAGTGACTGCCCAGTATACTCTAACTACCACATACCAGTCCTCTGCTCCCACTCGCTGCACCTATCCTTTCTTTAACCCTGTAAAGAAGTCCTCTGTAGCAACTGCTCACTCCTCTGTTCCATCTTCCAGCTCTTATCTGTCCTCAGCTGCTCCATTCGTTTGCAGACCTGCGTTTACTTGCAGTGCCCCAGTAGTTAAAACCAGAAAAAAGCGGAAATTCTTTCCAACCAGTACCATCCTGCCAGTATCCAAACCGGTGAGCCTGCCGTCTGAGAACATGCCTTCCGTGGTTCAGCCTGGTGCCTCGGCACCCGCACTTCAGCCTGATGTCTGTACCCAGCCTGATGTCTGTACCCAGCCTGATGAACTGATCCAGCCTGATGATCCTATCACGCCTGATGACCCAGTGCCCGCTGTCGAGCCAGACGATCAGGTACCTGATGACCCAGTGCCCGCGGTCATACCTGGTGACCCGATGCCCGCTGTCGAGCCAGACGATCCAATGCCTGATGACCCAGTGCCCGCTGTCATGCCTGGTGACCTGATGCCCGCTGTCAAGCCAGACGATCCAGCGCCAGATGACCCGGTGCCCGCTGTCGTGCCAATTGACTCAGAGTCCACTGTTGTGCCTGGTGACTCGGTGCCCACTGCCTTGCCAGATGACGTGGTGCCCGCTGTCGAGCCAAATGACCTGATGCCTGGTGACCCGATGCCCGCTGTCGAGCCAGACGATCCAATGTCTGACCCAGTGCCCGCGGTCATGCCTGGTGACTCGATGCCCGCTGTCGAGCCAGACAATCCAATGCCTGATGACCCAGTGCCCGCGGTCATGCCTGGTGACCCGATGCCCACTGTCGAGCCAGACGATCCAGCGCCAGATGACCCGGTGCCTGCTGTCGAGCCAGACGATCCGGTACCTGATGACCCGGTGCCCGCTGTCATGCCAATTGACTCAGAGCCCACTGTAGTGCCTGGTGACTCGGTGCCCACTGCCTTGCCAGATGACGCGGTGCCCGCTGTCGAGCCAAATGACCTGATGCCTGGTGACCCGATGCCTGTCGCCCCTCCTGGGGGCCTGGCGCCCGCCGTTCCGCCTGGGGGCCCGGCGCCCCCACCTGGGGGCCCGATGCCTGTCGCCCCGCCTGGGGGCCCGATGCCTGTCGCCCCGCCTGGGGGCCCGATGCCTGTCGCCCCGCCTGGGGACCCGATGCCCATCGCCCCGCCTGGGGGCCCGATGCCTATCGCCCCGCCTGGGGGCCCGATGCCTGTCACTTCACCTGGGGGCCCGGCTCCTGTCGCCCCGCCTGGGGGCCTGATGCCTGTCGCCCCGCCTGGGGGCCCGATGCCTGTCGCCCCGCCTGGGGGTCCGGTGTCCAGCTCGATGTGCCTCTGCCCGGAGTCCAGCTCGATGTGCCTCTGCCCGGAGTCCTGCCCGGAGTCCAGCTCGATGTGCCTCTGCCCGGAGTCCTGCCCAGAGTCCTGCCTGATGTGCCGCTGCCCGGAGTCCTGCCCGATGTGCTGCTGCCCGGAGTCCTGCCCGATGTGCCGCTGCCCGGAGTCCTGCCCGGTGTGCCGCTGCCCGGAGTCCTGCCCGGTGTGCCGCTGCCCGGAGTCCAGCCCGATGTGCCGCTGCCCGGAGTCCAGCCCGATGTGCCGCTGCCCGGAGTCCTGCCCGATGTGCCAGTCTTTGATATCCCGCCAGTTACCAGACCGGGCGTGGAACATTTTGCCCAGCTAGGACTGTTTGGAGCGTCCTGAGGCCGCTCCTTGAGGGGGGGTACTGTCAGGAATGGACTTGCCAGTAATGGTGGGACTTACCTGCCTTGTGGGCTGCAGTACCAGGGCTGGCCAGCGGGTGCTCCCAGCAATCAGAGACTCAACCCTGCAGCCAGCCAAACACCTGAAGTTGATCATGCAGGTGTATTTAAGGGATGGCCAGACCTGCAGTCTCTGCCTTGGTGTGTGTTTTTCCTGGGCCCTGTATCTTGTTCCTGCATCCCTGTTCCTGTCCCTGTCCCTGTCTGATTCGTTGCTGACCCTGCCTGATCCGGACCTCTGCTGACTTCTCCTGTTTTATCCCTGGCTTGTGGCCCCGACCATTCTCTGCCTGACCCCCTGTACCTACCTGCCCGATTGTTATTGACCCGGCCTGCCTGACGACGCTTGCATTGTATGTACTGTTATCTGTGGGTGGTTTGGTTCGTTGCACTGTGTTATGTTTTAGTATTGCACTGCGTTTATGTTTGTATTGTTAGTCTTTAATAAATTATATTGTTTATAACTTATCTGAAGCCTGCGTTTCCCTGCGTCAGCTCACATACCTCTGGTCATACCCTGGAGCCCTGACATTAAGCCATAACACCTGCAAAGGGTTTCTGAGCCTTTAAATGGTCTCTCAGTCTGGTTCAGTAGGAATCACAATCATGGGAAAGACTGCTGACCTGACAGTTGTGCAGAAAACCATCATTGACACCCTCCATAAGAAGGTAAAGCCTCAAAATGGTAATTGCAAAAGAAGTTGGATGTTCCCAAAGTGCTGTATCAAAGCACATTAATAGATAGTTATGTGGAATGGAAAAGTATGAAAGAAAAAAAGGGGTACAAGCAGCACTGATGACCGCAGCCTGGAGAGGATTGTCAGGAAAAGGCCATTCAAAAGTGTTGGGGACTTTCACAAGGGGTGGACTGAGGCTGGAGTCAGTGCATCAAGAGCCACCACACAGACGGATCCTGGACATGGGCTTCAAATGTCGTATTCCTCTTGTCAAGCCGCTCCTGAACAACAGACATCAGAAGCGTCTTACCTGGGCTAAAGAAATACAGACCCGGTCTGTTGCTCAGTGGTCCAAAGTCCTCTTTTTCTGATGAGCGCAACTTTTGTGTCTCATTTAGGAAACCAATGACCCAGAGTATGGAGGAAGAATGGAGAGGCACACACTGCAAGATGCTTGAAGTCCAGTGTGAAGTTTCCACAGTCTTCCTTGATTTGGGGAGCTATGTTATCTGCTGGTGTTGGTCCACTGTGCTTCATTAAGTCCAGGGTCAACGCAGCTGTCTACCAGGAGATTTTGGAGCACTTCACGCTTCCTTCTGCAGACGAGCTTTATGGGGATGCTGACTTCATTTTCCAGCATGACTTGGCACCTGCCCACACTGCCAAAAGCACCATAACCTGGTTCAATGATCGTGGGATTACTGTGCTTTATTGACCAGCAAACTTGCCTGACCTGAACTCCATAGAGAATCTATGAGGCATTGTCAAGAGAAAGATTAGACGTGAGACCGAACAATGCAGAGGAGCTGAAGGTCGTTATTGAAGCATCCTGGTCTTCCATAACACCTCAGCAGTGCCACAGGCTGATAGCTTCCATGCCACGCCGCATTGAGGCAGTAATTGCTGCAAAAGGGGCCCAAACCAAGTACTGAGTACATATTCATGCTTATACTCTTCAGAGGTCCGATATTGTTCTATGTACAATCCTTGTTTTATTGATTGCATACGTATAATATTCTAATTTTCTGAGATTGTGGATTTGGGGTTCTCATGAGCTGTAAGCCATAATCATCACAATTATGACAAATCACGGCTTGAACTCTCTTGCTTTGCATGTAATGAGTCTATCTCATATTAGTTTCACCTTTTAAGTTGCATTACTGAAATAAATTAACTTTTGCACAATATTCTAATTTTTCGAGTTTCACCTGTATTTACTGTGGAAAAATGGTGACGTGTTCAATACTTATTTCACCCGAGATATTATATATTTATATTTCACACACACACACGCCAAAAGTATTGGGACGCCTGCCTTTATATGCACATGAATTTTAATGGCATCCCAGTCTTGGGCTATAGGGTTCAATATTGAGTTGGTCCACCCTTTGCAGCTATACCAGCTTCAACTCTTCTGGGAAGGATGTCCACAAGGTTTAGGAGTGTCTATGACCTTTCTTCCAGAAACTCATTTGTGAGGTCAGGCACTGATGGACAAGAAGGCCTGGCTCGCAGTCCCTGCTCTAATTCATCCCAAAGATGTTCAGGTCAGGACCCAGTGCAGGCCAGTCGAGTTGAAACTCGCTCATTCGATTTCTTTATGGACCTTGCTTTGTGCACTGGTGTGCAGTCATGTTGGAACAGGAAAGGGGCATCCCCAAACTGTTCTCACAAAGTTGGGAGCATGAAATTGTTTAAAATGTCTTGGTATGCTGATGCCTAAAGAGTTCCCTTCACTGGAACTAAGGGGCCAAGCCCAGCCCCTGAAAAACAACCCCACACTATAATCAACCCTCCAAACTTTACACAATGCAGTCAAGCAAGTACGGTTCTCCTGCCAGCCACCAAACCCAGACACATCCATTGGATTGCCAGACAGAGCGTGATTTGTCGCTCCAGAGAACACATCTCCACTGCTCTAGAGTCCAGTGGTGGCATGTGTTTTACATCACTGCATCCGATGCTTTGCATTGCACTTAGAGATGTAAGGTTTGGGATGCGGCTGCTCGGCCATGGAAACCCATTCCATGAAGCTCTCTATGCACTGTTGCGCTAATCTGAAGGCCACACAAAGTTTGGAGGTCTTTAGCAATTGACTGCAGACAGTTGGCAACTTTTTCGCACTGTGCACTTCAGCATGCGCTGACCATACTCTTTATGTGGCCTACCACTTTGTGGCTGAGTTGCTGTTGCTTCTACTTTGTTACAATACCACTAACAGTTGACTGTGTAATATTTAGTAGCAAGGAAATTTCACGGATGGACTTATTGCACAGGTGGCAACCTATCACGGTACCATGCTTGAATTCACTGAGCTCCTGAGAGTGACCCATTCTTCCACAAAGGTTTGTAGAAACAGTCTGCATGCCTAGTTGCTTGATTTTATACACCTGTGGCCCACTGAGGTAATTGAGACACCTGAATCCAATGATTTGGAGGGGTGTCCCAATACTTTTGACAATATAGTTTGTATATACAGTGAAGGAAATAAGTATTTGATCCCCTGCTGATTTTGAATGTTTGCCCACTCACAAAGAAATGATCAGTCTAAAAATTGAATGGTAGGTGTATTGTAACACAGAGACAGAATAGCAACAAAAAAATTCAAAAGAAATGCATGTCTAACAAGTGATGCACTGATTTGCATGTTCATGATGGAAATAAGTATTTGATCCTCTTCACAAAACATAACTTAGTACTTGGTGGCAAATCCCTTGTTGGCAATCGCAGAGGTCAGACGTTTCCTGTAGTTGTCCACCAGGTTTGCACACATCTCAGGAGGGATTTTGGCTCACTCCTCTTGGCAGATCCTCTCCAAGTCATTAAGGTTTGGTAGCTGACGTTTGGCAACTCAAATTTTCAGCTCCCTCCACAGATTTTCAATATGATTAAGGTCTGGAGACTGGCTAGGCCACTCCAGGACCTTGATGTGCTTTTCTGGAGCCACTCCTTTGTTGCCTTGGCCGTGTGACCCATTTTCAATGCCCTGGCTGAGGGAAGAAGGTTCTCACCCAAGATTTGACGGTACATTGCCCCATCCACCATCCCTTTGATGCGGTCAGTTGTCCTGTCCCCTTAGCAGAAAAAACAGCTCCAAAGCAGAATGTTTCCTCCACCATGTTTGACGGTTGGGATGGTGTTCTTGGGGTCATAAGCAGCATTCCTTCTCCAAACACGGCGAGTTGAGTTGATGCCAAAAGAGCTCTATTTTGGTCTCATCTGACCACAACACATTCAGCCAGTCCTCCTCTGCATCATTCAGATGTTCAGTGGCATACTTCAGACGGGCCTGGACATGTGCTTTCTTGAGCAGAGGGACCTTGCAGGCATTGCAGGATTTCAATCCTTGTTGGTGTAGTGTGTTACCAATTGTTTTCTTGGGGACTGTGGTCCCAGCTGCCTGGAGATCACTGGCAAGATCCTCACGTGTAGTTCTGGGATGATTCCTCACTGTTCTCATGATCATTGACTCTCCATGAGATAAGATCTTGCATGGTGCACCAGACCTAGGGAAACTGACAGTTGTTTGTGTTTTTTTCCATTTGCGAATGATTGGCCAACTGTTGTCACCTTCTCACCAAGCTGCTTGGCGATAGTTTGGTAGCACAGTCCAGCCTTGTGTAGGTCTACAGTCTTGTACCTGACATCCTTGGGCAGCTCTTTGGTCTTTGCCATGGTGGAGAGTTTGGAATCTGATTGTTTGACTGCTCCTGTGGACAGATGTCTTTTATACAGGTAACAATGAGATTAGCAGCACTCCCTTTAACCTCCCTAGCGGTCTGATTATGTCCGTATTTCTGTGCTGAAAGCGGTACATTTTTTTGCATGAAAACATGTATTTTTTTTATTGTAGGCCTGTAATTTTTAGGAATAA